GGAATTTCAGGCATGCATCACCATGTCCAGCTAGAATTCTTACAGAAACCAAATGTAGTTGTACTTGGTTGTAATCCCAGCACTCAGGAGGCAGAGGCAAGGGGATCGTGAGTTTGAGGATAGCTGTGCTACATAGTATCATATTACTCTGGTTTATATAACAAGACCTTATCTAAAAATAAAATTTAAAGAAATTTGTACAGAAGCTGAGCCTGCTTTTGTAGTTATTTACGATTGAAGTTGCTGTCTGGGAACCATCTTCCCATTCCACAAGATGATACTCGGTGACTTAGAACCTGTCTCTGTCACTTATGTTTCTCAGTCTCCTTGATCCTGAGGATGGAGGATGGCTATGTCATTAGTATACACTTGGACACAGGAGTGTCTCTGGCTAGAACAGTGATAAGAAGAAAGTAATAACCAGTAATAAACTATAATCACCCTAATGTTAATGATTGTTTAGTTCTCAATTATAGGGACTGTAAAAATGACTTTGCCCTACAAGTAAAGAAAACATGGTGCCAGCTTCTTTTATGGTGACTAAAAAAGATATGGGGAGGGAATGAAAACTAAAATCTTCAAAAATGTGCAACAGAACTTTCTGTGATTGTAAAAAGTGTGTTTGTGCTATCCAATATGGTAGCCACTAGCTAGATGTGACTACTGAGCAGTTGAAACGTAGTTAATACAAATAGGGAACTAAACTTTTATTTTATGACATTTAAATTAATTTTATTAAGATTAAATAGCCATTTGTGAATAGTGTGGGGTTCCAGTTGACGTTTTTTGGGTTTTCTGTTTGTGTTGTTTTTGTACTGTGTTTGGATCCAGGAACTTCACCCTGAACTGTATTCCCAGGCCATTTTTCAAAACAATTTCGAGACAGAGTCTCACTAAGTCATTAAGTTGCCTCACCTGCGTCTGAACTTGTGATCCTCCTGCTTTCTGTCTCAGCCTCCTGAATACTGGAATTACAAGTGTGCATTACCACACAGGCAAGGCTGGTAGGCTGAATATACCTCTAGTTTTTAAAAATCTAATTTATGGTTGAGCAACTCTAGGAAGATCAAAAAGAAAAGGATGTAATGGGGAGTAATAATAGTCAAATTACTCTGGCTTTATTATAATGCAAGGCATGTCTCTAAACACTTAACAGGTGTTTTAGATGGTATTGCAATGAGCCATTAGAATCACCATTTTCTAGGTGATAAAAATTAGACAGAGTAAAAATTTTACTTGCCCAAGATCACACAGCTGTGTAGAGATGCACTTTATACACAGGCAATTTGATCACACAGCCCACTCATCAGTTCAAGAGTGAGGTGGCAATGGAGTGACTGGGGATGTATGTCTCAAACCAGATGGGTGCGCAAGCTTACAGGCGTACCATAGGGTATTTATTTATTTGTGATTGTTGTGATCTTACTATGTTGCCTAGTCTGGTCTTAAACTCAGGGGCTCAAGTGGTCCTCTGTCTCACCTCTCTGTTTTAGTTCTAGAGACTGAACCTCAGGATCTTCATCCTGAGCCCTAGCCCCAGCTCTTTTTTTTTATTTTGAGACAGAGGCTCACTGAGTTGTTAAATTGCCCACTCTGGGCTGGAACTTGTAGTCTTCCTGCTTCAGTGTCCTGCAGTGCTGAGGTCACCATATCCAGATGATCTTCCCTTCTCAGCACCTCGAGTAGGTGAGACTACAGGCCAGAGATGCTGTGAAAAGATTGTTGAAATAGTAAATTCTCTGTGAACTGTGAAATTGGGAATTTGGGTGTTACAAACAGTGAAATGGACATTAAAAGTATGAATATTTGGTGTGAGACAACATAATAGGAAAGAAAAGATATGTAATAATACTTCACAAATTATGGCCATCAAGTATCTCTTATAAATATATAAAAAGGAAATCATATGAATTTGTACCCTTTAGTGGTTGAAAGCTTCTGAGGAAAGCAACAAGGAATGAAGATGGGATGTCAAGAACAGGCACAGGACAAAACCTCAGACAGGATTTAATGCAACCCAAAGTCTACGCAACCTTGTTTGACAGACCACAAAGTGAGTATGCCCTCATAGGGCAGGCACTTCTTGAAATCATATTGCTGAAGACAGGTGAAAAAGGGGCCCAGCTGGATGTGGCAGCACATGCCAATTATCCCAGCTACTCCAGAGGCTGGGAGGGGATTACAAATTCTAGATGAACTTGGGTAATTTAACAAAAAATGAAAAAGGCTGATATATATATATATATATATATATATATATATATATATATTCAGTTGTAAAGTGCTCCTGGGTTCCATTCCCAGTATATTGCAAAAACAAACAAACAAACAAAAAATAACCACCACCACAAAGCCCAGTAAAATCCAAGTACTTATATAGAGGGATGGTTGTGGAATTAGAGCCAGAGTTCAGTATGGGGCTATCAGGTAGCACTTGCCTGGCATGTATGAGCCCCTAGGTATATTCCCAGCATGATAATAAAAAAAAAAAAAGTAAATAACCAAGAATAAAGACAATAAAACAAAACAAAAAACAAGGTAAAGTATATTCTAAAAGTTATAACCACCCTGGTCAATGTGTCCACTGACAAACTGTCTCTGTCCATTAAATAATAGTACACAGCCTTGGTGAAATGTAAATGCAAATGTTTTTCATATCTTGCTAGAAAAACACTATAGGAAACTGAACCTTGTCCCACACTTTTTGTTTCATAGATCATCATTTCTTGTTTTATATGCACTTACTTTAGACAAAATCTATTGAAATTAATTGATTTGGTTTGAACTTCCTTTTTCTTTTTCAATTTTGTTTTCTTTTTTGCTTTTTAAAACCAGATCATACACTGTAATTCAGGCTGCTATTGAACTGAGTAGCCCAGGCTGGCCTCAAACTCACAGCAATCTTCCTGCTTTAACCTTCTGAGTGCTAAGTTATAGGCATGAACCAACATATCTTGTTGAACTTAGATATAATCACACTCTTTTTTTGTTTGTTTTGAGTCAGGGTCTCTGCTGTGCAGTCCGGGCGGACCTTCACCTCATTGTGTGAAGCCAAGGCTGGCTTCAAACTCAGAACTCACGCCAATCCCCCTGCCTTAGCCTCTAAAGTGCTGAGATGACAGGTGTGTACCAGTATGCCCAGCCTAATCATGTTCTAATATTATCTTCTGTGCAAATTAGACTTAATTTGGGATAATATTTACAAGCCCTTACACTGTCAAATATTAATAGATATTTTCTGTGGCTGTGTATGGTAACCTTCTGTATTGCTAGGACAAAGTCCTAGACGCCCACAGTTTGAAGGAGGAGAGCTTTATTGGCTGTTTTTGAAGGCTCAGTCCATGGCTGGCTGCTCTAAAGCAGCAACACCACGGTGGAAGGGTGTGGTGGAGTAAAGCTGCTCACTTCATGGTGACCAGGAGGCAGAGCACAGTGCAGAGAGGAAGGGGTCAGTGACAGTCCCCTGGATCTGGATGCAACAGCAAAGAGCATGCCCTCATGACCCACCCATGTACACCCATAAGTGTGCATTACTAATCTGGTAGATGTCTCTCAAGCCACTCAAAACTAACAATCAATATTAGCTAGCATAGGCTGATTTTCTCTTAAGACTGATCTCCATTTTTTAAAATAGGGCTTTCGATAGTCCAAAACTTTTTCTTTTTCTCTTTCTTGCTTTTCTTTTTCCTTTTTTTTTTTTTTTCAGACAGGGTTTCACGATGTAGTACAGGCTGGCCTTGAACTCACTATGTAGCCCAGGCTTACTTTAAACTTGTGGCAATCCTCCTGCCTTGACCTTCTGAGTGCTGGGATTATGGGCATGTGCCACTACACCTGGTGTATAATCTCATTACTGAGATTATAAAGTGAGTCTTTATACCAATCTGTTGTTCTTTCTAATAAAGTAACTAGAGGAGTAAGAATAGTAATAACAATAATCATGATGGAACAAACCACGTGTTTAGTGTTAGGCCCAATTCTCCTATATACTTTTATTGTCTTTACAGATATTATTTTTACTTTTGTGTTCACAATACTAGAACAGTTCTGTTGCATAGTAGATGTTCAACATTTTTTTTTTTTTTTTTTTTTTTTGCGGTGCTGGGGATTGAACTCACGACCTTGCACTTGCCAGGCAGGCGCTTATGCCGCTGAGCTAAATCCCTGGCCCAACAAATATTTCTTGAATGAGACAAACTCGTTAGATAACAGTGACTTGAGTTTCATTGCAAGGTAAAAGGGCAGGCAGTTTGGAGTTCAGGATAGGGAAAAGCTGGAGGATGCCAAGAGACAAGCAAGGGTTTGATGCATGTGGTTTGATACATGTGTTGATACATTTGATACATGTTTTTGATACATTTGATTCAAGAATTTGATACATAATCTAGAGTGGGAGAAGCAGTAGATGAACTCTTACAAATATTGTGTTTTTCCGCTACAGGAATTTCCCTCTTGGGAGGAGTCCTGTACTTACGGGAATTGCTTGGAGCCAGTACAGGGTACCACCCCCCTGTCGCAATCCTGTCTGTCTAGGATCCAAAAATCCTTGCACTTGAACTTCCTCATCTCCCATCTGGACCTAGAAGTGTTTCCCCAAAACCTCTCGGCCTCCAAGTCAACACTGTAGTAGCCAGGGTGACCCTCCTTCCCTTATCTAGGAAGCAGCTCAAGCGCTTGTCTTTTTTCGTTTTATTCTTGAGTTGCACAGTTGGAGGCTTGAAATATTCTCTTTTCAAATCTCTTGCGGTTTGCGGTAGACGCAGCCTGGAATGGGGTTGCAGGCAAACGGTTCCCTGGGACCCGGCACCTTCTCACGCCTCAGGCCTGCGTTGCTGGAGGCCCCGACCCTGGGACCCTGGAAGGGCTCCAGGATACAATGCTTCCCGCCAGCTCTGGAGAGCTTTCAGTTTCGGAAAGAATTCTGATTGAATTTTCAGCTCCGCCTGGGGCGGCAGGGTGTGCGTCACCATGGAGACAGGGCCGGCCCTCCTGCTCGGCTGCCATTGGCTGCGGCCGCGGGAAGATAAAAACCAGCGTCCAGGGCACCGGGAGTTAACTATTCGAACCGGACCGGCGAACACCACCCAGCTCCACCCTAGCTTCACCGATCGATTGCTGCGAGCAGGATCTCTGGGAGGGCCGGGGCGGGACCATGGAGGACGGGTGAGACTGAGCATCAGGCCCGGAGACTCGGAGGCCCCTGGGGAGGGGAAGTAACTGTCATCGAGACCGGGAAACTGCGCTCGGTGCGCAAGGGCCAGGGCGAGGGAGCGGGCACCCTGGCGACGTGGAGCGGCCTGACAGGGAGCCCGGAGCCGGGGTTCAGGGTGGCGCCAGGATCAGGGCGACACAACGGAGGGGCAGGCAGCGCGGGCAGGGCACGTGCGGGAATCCAGTCGGGGTGGTGACTCGGAAGCAGGACGGGCACGGGTTTGTGCCGCGCAGGCGGCTCCTGAAAACCTGTTTTTGCGTCCGTCTGTGTGCGTGTTAGGGGTGCAAGTGGACAGGGAGGCACATCCCTTACGCCACACCGCAGTCAGTCTCCCCACCCCGTACCCCCTTCACAGGTGTTCATTTTGGGGTCTACGTAAAGATAGGTGCTTTTGGTGCTCAAGCCTGGAATCCTTCTTGTAGAGGAAGGGTGATTCACCTCCTCTGCCAGCCTCTTCCTACCTTCCAAACTGGAAGTCAAATTCACCAGCTGGGAATGGAGTCTCCAGGGAGACCAGGAAATCTTTAATCCCTGAGCAGAGCTGGGTACACACCACTGGGGCCCGCCCTACGCCTTTGAAAAACCTTTCTCTTTGCTTCGGTCCTGGGATTCCCAGCCCAAGTCACCAGCGTAGGGATCACCCCAGTGCCTTTTAGATGACCGGGAACCAAGGGTGTTCTTGGGGGATGGACGCGAACTAGGAAGTCCATGAGCTGTGTGGTAATGGCTGTGGCTCCTTTCATTTTCTTTTCACCTCTTAAGAAGGCATATTATTGGTTAATTTGTCACCAATCTTTAATGACTCTATTCCCTCTCCTAACCTGTTACCCAGCTACTTCCCTGAGGGTAGCCTGATTTACTGTGCAATTTTGTCTGGGTTCCCGACTTTTTTGCTTTGTTTTGTTTTTGAGAGGGGTCTGGCTGTGCTGCCCAGGCTGGACTTACCAGGGCTTAAGAAATCTTCTCACATCATCAGGCAAGTGGGACCACAGGTGGTCAGTCTGGTGCCCAGCTCCTAGGCGCTGCTTGTTGTTGTGGTGGTGGTTGGTGTGTGTGTGTGTGTGTGTGTGTGTGTGCGTGTGTGTGTGTGTGTTTTGAGACAGGATCTTGCTGTCGAACTGGCCTTGAACTCACTGTGTAGCCCAGGCTAATCTCACACTCAAGGTGATCCTCTTTGTCTCAGGCTTCCACTTGCTGGGATTACAGGGTGTGCCACCACACACTGCCTAGGCTCTGTTTTTGAAGAAAAAAGAATTTCCTCAGGAAAGTTCATTAGTTGTGTTCATCTCTGTTACACTTCACTTCCACGGCGAAGCACAATGCAATCTTCACTCTTTCAGATGGGTGTGATGGGACCAGGGCTGGCACTGAGGAAAGTTCCAGGTTGACTATTGCTAGTAGTGTAGGGGCTTTTGGTGATTGTCTGCTGTTATATCGTGAAGGAAAGCAGTCTTGGTGTGGAGAAAAGGGATGATGGAAGTAGTCAGGGACCAGGAAAAACAGCAGGAGGTGACCACAGAAAGCAAAAGCAGAAAGTTTTCCATTTTCAGAGCTTTTTAGCAAGCATTTAATCTGCAGGGCTAGGCCCACAATCTGCACTTGTAACAAGTTTCTGCAGAGAATGTATGCAGCCAATCCTAGTTTATCCTTTGGCAGACAACCAGCTGCAGTGCACCAGTTTACTCTCTGGTCTTGGGTTCCTTTGCAGTTCCATATGACAGGGGTTTGTGCGGACATGGGAGTCTTAGATTTAAGCATCCAGGAGAAAGTCAGAATGGCACATAGACTTTTACTGGGAGTGTTCCTATTACTTTCTTTCCTTTTCTCCCCCCCACCAACTTTTTTTTTCTGTCAGTCAGAAAGGTTAGACCCAAGAGCTAGGTATGTGGTAGGCCTGTAGTCCCAGTTCTGTAAGAAGCTAAGGTAGGAGGATTGCTGGAGCCCAGCAGGTGGAGGCTGGCTTGAGTGATGCTCCTTCCCTAAAGTACAAACATATGCACAAAACAGGGCTGGGTATGTGGCACCTTAGGGATGTAGTACAGCACCCTTAGGTCCTGGATTCCATCACAGCACAAGGGAGGGACTGTGGGGGTTATTAGCCTTTTAGTATTTGGCTGAGGAACAAATTAGAGGATGAATTTCTCAGAGGCAATTGGCTTTTTTTCATGCTATCAGGACACTTGGGCTAAATTATATATATATTTTTTTCTTTGAAACAGGATCTCATTGAATAGTTCAGGCTGGCTTTGAACTCACTATGTATCCTAAGCTGGCCTCAAACTAATGATGATCCTCCTGCTTCAGCCTTCCAAGTGTACCACCAAACCTGAATAAGCTTACTTACATTTTGAGTGTCCGTCAGGGGATAGATAGGGTACCATAGAACAATGTATTAAGTTTATCACTGTTCTCAGAAAGGTCTTTAATTGCATTTTGAGTGCTCTGCTCAGCCTTAATCTCTTTATTTCATTGCACTTCTCTGGTCCCTATAATACCTCTCGAAGTCTTTGTTATGAGAATCGGTGCTAGAGGTATAGATCAGTAGTAGAGCACTTGCCTAGTAAATGAGAGGCCCGGGTTTGAGCCTCAGCACCACAATGGAAGTAAAACAAGACACCTGTGTGTGTTATCAATCCTAGCATTGGGACTGTGGAGACAGAGTTCTTCAACCTTTGCCAGGCTCTCAAATTAAGCGATTTTCATTAATGATTTGATAGCATGTGACTGCTACCTCTGGGCTAGATTTGGTGTCCCCTGATATCTCAACACCTGCCAGCCTTTTTGCACCAAATTTCCTTTGTCTGTGATACCGTTGTAAGGGGAGTAGAACTCACTGTGGCTTTCTTTTTACCTCCTAGATTCATGTATGAAGATTACGAGAACACGGCACAATGGCTTCTCTCTCATACCAAGCACCGGCCCGAAGTAGCAGTGATCTGTGGTTCTGGGTTAGGAGGTCTGGCTGACCAATTAACTCAGGCCCAGGCCTTTGACTACAGCGACATACCCAAATTTCCCCGAAGCACAGGTGCTGGGAATTGGAAGGAGGGGATGAAACTGAGAGATACTGATGGGGATCTGTGGAGTTCATTGTTACTACTCCTGGACCTAGCGTTTGACCAGAATCAAATGTTAAAGAGGGACAAACACTACCGCAAAATTCCCCTAAAAGAAATTTCCCAACAATGCATGTATCAGTGGGATCAAGATGACATCTTTCCTGTGCTTTACTGACTTACTGCTCCTTAAAACTCCACCTCACCTTTTCCTGCGTGCACCTCCTCCCATAAACCCATCCTGCTTGTTTCTTCCACCCTGTACCTTAAATGGGAAAAATAGTGTCTACAGCCTCCCAGGACTCTAGGTCTAGCTCCAGGCCTAGGATAATATACACACTGCACAGCAGCGAATGAACACACAGGCCGCTGTGTTCTTACAGACATAGATGCAAGCTAACATACAAGACCTAATTCACGTTTACCCATAGGGAAGGGAAAGGGATGAATGCTGACCTCTGTGAAGTCAGAAAAAGCAGCATCTGCAACATTCTAATAACAGCCAGAAAGCTAAAGCTGAGACCAGAAAAGTGCCGGGTGAGGCCAGACAAGGCAGCAGACACCTCCCAGCACTCTGGGAGGCTGAGGCTGGAAGATTGTAAATTTGAGCCCAGCTTGGGCAAATTAGTGTCTTAGCAACATAACAAATAAAAAAGACGAGATGTAGCTCCGTGAAAAGGCCTAGGTTTCAATTCTCAGGATCTGGCAAGGAGGGGGAGATAAAAGTTAGGTGAAACAGGGCAAGTAGTTTTATTTTTTGTTGTTGGTTTTTGTTTGTTTTTTTAAGTATGTGAGAAGTTTATTGAAGATCCCAGGGCAGTGGTAGGAACAGGCAGAAGGGCAGAGTGGGCAAAAAAAGGAGGATAATGTGACTGGGCATGGTGGTACATGCTCATTATCTTAGTACTTTGGGAGGCCGAGGCAGGAGGATTGCCCTGAGTTTGAGGTCAACCTGGGCTACATAGTGAGTTCAAGGCCAGCCTGAACTGTATAGTAAGACCTTGTCTCAAACAGGCAAACAAAGATAAGGTTAATTTATTTGGTTCACTTATTCTCAAATAATTAACTTCCATTTGTTTATTTATTAATTTTTAAGATTTCAATCTTTCTCCACTTCCTGGATAGTTAAGACTTTTAGAGCAAGCCTGGGAGATCAGAACAGGAAGCATGGAAACAGGGTTTAGAGAAGGAAATGTTAAAAAGAGTGAGGGCCAAAGCAGGACATAAATCTCTCTTTTTTTTTAAGGGGTACCAGGGATTGAACTCACGACCGCCTGCTCACAAGGCAGGTGCTTATGCCACTGAGCTAAATCCCCAGCCCCCAGGATATAAATCTCAAAGGGAGGTGGTAGTGACATTGGCTCATTTGCCCTCCTACCTCTTATAAGAAGGGCTCTGAGTGAAGAGATAATTTTATCTATCTAGCTGTCTATCTGTATCTGTCTATCTATTTTTGAGATAGGGTCTCTCTAGAGGTTCACGCTGTACTTGAATTCACTTTGTAGCCCAAATTGGGTTCGTGACAATCTTCCTGCCTCAGCCTCCCATGGAATTATAAACCACCACACACGGGTCTATTTATTTTTTATACTCTAGTTGGGTTTGAGTTTTCCTCTGTTACTAGTAACTTTGAAATCTCCTAGAGTTACTTCCTGCTGATTCTGGTCACTTGCCCAAACCATCAATTCCTTAAGGGATAAATTGGCCACACATTAGCGAAAATTGCCAGATAAGAGAAAAGGTGAAAATCAGTATTTTGTCTGTGGGGAGTTTTCTTTGTGTTTCCATGCCCCCACAGGTATCGTTACCACAGGACTGGTGTAGGTCATAAAGAAGGAGAATTGCTCCAGTTAAAATCTAGACCTTTCTGGCTGACAAATTGAGAAAAGCCCTATAATAATTACGGCATTCAGTGTTACCCACTTCATTTTCTACTCACTTTTATCCCATTGCAGTATAGTTCTCTTATTCCTTTGTAATTTGTTCTAACAACTCTCCTTTTTTATGCTCACACTGAACATCCTTTCCTCTCTAGCTCTAGTTCCTGGTCACCTTGTATGACTATGATCGTCTCCATAAGACTTTCAGTGCTTTTAATCATGACCACACATGTCGAGCACACTGAAGGGTGCACTGTGGTGCTCACGAGTGTTCCATGAATGCGTACTCCTGTTTATTTCCCTTTCCTGTTCCTATGCAGTACCAGGTCATGCTGGTCGACTGGTGTTTGGATTCCTGAATGGCAAGGCCTGCGTGATGATGCAGGGCAGATTCCACATGTATGAAGGATACTCACTCTGGCAGGTAATCAGGGTCACAGGCTTGTTTGGATCTGGAGTAAGAGGAAGAGGGAACTATCCTGTTTAGTACTGTCTTGCCACGTTCTTGTTGCAGGGACAAAATACCGACCAGCCGTAACTGAAAGGAAGAGAGGTTTCAATGTGTAGTCAGCCGGAGTGAGGGGCCAGGCAGAGAGAAAGGGAGGGAGATAGACCCTTCTAGACCATACCAATTACCTACCTATTTGGCCTACACAGATTTTTGTTCTTCTTCTATCTCTTCTTTTATTATGTGTATTATATACACGTGCATAGGTAGATTGAAATTTTTTTGATCTCTGCTTCCGAGGTGACATTCCCTGTGAGGGTTTTCCGCCTTCTGGGAGTGAATACACTGGTCGTCACCAATGCAGCTGGAGGGCTCAACCCCAAGTTTGAGGTTGGAGACATCATGCTGATCCGTGATCATATCAACCTACCTGGTTTCTCTGGTCAGAACCCTCTCAAAGGGCCCAATGATGAAAGGTACGTATCTTGTTTTCTATTTCCAAGTAGATAGGGTTTAAGGACTTGCTTAGGAGTTAGGAACAAGTCTGTTTAATTTCACTTATCTGAGGTAACCCCTACTTTGATCTAGATTTGGAGATCGTTTCCCTGCCATGTCTGATGCTTATGACCGGAATATGAGGCAGAAGGCTTTCAGCGTCTGGAAAGAAATGGGGGAGAAGCGAGAGCTCCAGGAAGGCACCTATGTGATGCTGGCGGGCCCCAATTTTGAGACTGTGGCAGAGTGTCGCCTGCTGCAGAAGCTGGGAGCAGATGCTGTTGGTGAGAAGAGGGGACTTTGGCTACAGGCTCAAGGAAAGGATCTGGTAAAAGCAGCTCAGTGTGGAGAAGTAGATTATAGATATAACAGGACTTGGAGAGGGTTTGATTTAATAGAATGGTAAATTAAACTGACTTGTAGGAAAACAAAGTGAGGAAGTGCCCTTAACAGCACCAGTGCTAATCACCTACTCATGATTTGACTCTTCTCAAGAGTTCTTTTAACTCACAGCGGTTTAGTCAACTTCTGTACCTCTGGGTGGAAGGTAGACTTTGTTGTTAGAACAGACTTTGAAATTACCAAAAATACAGAATAACTCACGGTACTGGCAATATTTATAAGAAATATGTGAGCCCTTCTGAGGTCTCACTTATTTGAAGCAATCCAAAATAATACAAGCTCAGTATAATTTAGCACTTCTCAGGATGTGTTTTGAAGAACATTGAGACTAAAAGGTAAGCAGAGCCATTTGCAAATCTTAACAGCTGATGTGTCCGTTCCTCCCCTCAGGCATGAGCACAGTACCAGAAGTTTTAGTTGCTCGGCACTGTGGACTTCGAGTCTTTGGCTTCTCACTCATCACTAACAAAGTCATCACAGATTATGAAAGCTTGGAGAAGGCCAACCATCAGGAAGTTCTGGAGGCCGGGAAACAAGCTGCAAAGAAATTGGAGCATTTTGTCTGCCTTCTCATGGCTAGCATTCCACACTCTGACAATGCCTAGTAACCACTCCTGGAGGGGTTGGGTGCCTCCCTGATGGAATCCAAGTGGCTACTACCTGCTCTGGCCTCTTGCTGGTGTCACGTGCCTCAATGCTTAGGTAGCAGAAAGAAAATGAGCTCTCTGTCTTTCACATTCCCTACTTTCTCCTACCAGGCAAGTCCTCTTGCTCTGTCATCTTCTCAAAGCACTTTTTCTACCCTGTTCTGGAATAACTGGAGCACAGTGCCCTACCACACCTGGGGACATGCCCGTGATTCAACACACACCTTTGAACTCCTGACAGTTGCTGTTACTAGCTCTGTGAAATGACACTCTCATGTTCTGGGGCTCTGTTCTGCCTCACAGCACTAGAGAGCAAATAAGGACCAGCTCATACACCATAATACTTTGAGAATAAAGAGATGAAATTATTTTTTTACTCTTGTGCAACTTGGGATGAGGCTGGAGCACAGGCCAAGATTGACACAAATTGTTGTAAGACCCCAATCTTCTGTGAGTATCTCCTTCTCAGACTGAGATGAGGCAGTGTGTGAGCATCAAAGAATGAAGGAAAGGTGGAATGGTAGAGGATGTCGCAGCCTTAATTGCAGCCTTCTTTATTAAACATTGTCTAGTCCTTATCCTTTTCCTTGAATTCCTTCTCCCCTAGTTTGTATATTCTCACAGGATGGTGCAGCTACCCCTTGTCTGCTTCCAGCCAGCCCACTGCTGACTCCATTCTTTCCTGCCAGCCCCAGGAAAACCTGTGAAACTGACTCATACTCAGCGTCTCATGGAGCACCTGCTTTCCTCCTACTGCTTTTGTATGAGTTTTGCTCTTTTACTTGGTCAAACCTCACTGTGACTCCATATTCAAGCATACTTGTTTCTTGGCTCACCACATGCTTTTGCTTATCAGCTTACATTCAGCTGCCTGACATGTTTGGAAATCACATTACCCTCCCAGGCCTATCTACATTTAAGAAAGGGTCAGGGTGAGAACTCTTTCAAATTATCCTGTATTTAGTAATTGATATATTTAGATGAACCCAGCCCAAAGAAAAACTATCCTGAAGTGGGCATATGGCTACCATTCTTTGTATCTCTAGATACCATTTAACTCTCCTTGGACCCCCAGACAATCTGCCAGAAAGTGTTACTTGTCTCCAGCTTTGAAGAAAGTACTGTGCTTCCTTAGGATATCATTATAACTCGTTCATGTAATGAGATGGTTTACAGCTGTTTTAAGCCTTGAATATGTCTTCATACAGTATTTGGCTAATAAAATGCTAAATGAGAATATAAAAATGGTCCTTCTCAAGTGGCTCAGCATCTTAAGATACTAATGAAGTGTCTGTTGTATAAGACTCGTATAAGATGGATAAAAATCAGCTGTGTGCGTGTGTTTGTGTGTGTGTGTACATGCATATGTATGCACTTGAACGCAAGAACTGTACTCAGCCTCTGAATTTTGAAGGGTGAAAGGAAGAGGCTTTTGCATTTGAACAAACCAAAGCATAGAGCTGGGACTGAGGCATGTTCACACGTCATTGGCATGGAGTGTGCTAGTGATAGGAACATGACTGGAAGGCTAGGGAGAGCTGCTTGGCCGTCCTACACTCTGACCTGCCTTTTGATCAGTCTAAACAGGAACCATAACAATGCCACTGAACAATGTGACCTGGAGATACCAGAGTATGATATGAAAGCATTTTTAGCATTCTAGATTTAGTGAGTGTATTAAATTTGTGTGTACTATATGAAGATATAACTTTATTTTTTAAAAAAATCTATTGAGATAAAGTTTACATACCATAAAATTCATCCATATACCATGTACAATATTTAGTACATTCACATAAATGCAATTATTACCAGTTAATTTTAGAACATTTCATCATCTTGAAAATAAACCATATCCACTCCAACCTCCCCACTTCCTATGGTGGGCCCAAACCACTAATCTATTTTCTGTCTCTATATGTTAGAATGTTTTGGACTTTCATATGAATAGATTTATGTGGAACCATGAAAACTTTGAGACTGGCTTTTTTTTACTTCACATAAAATTTTCAAGATTCAACCAAGTTGAGGTATATATCAGTGCAGTACTGTTTTTTAAGGCCAAACACTCCATTGATACTACATTTTGTTCATGAAGGGTCTTCAGTTTGAAAGTGTGTATCAACCAAGCACAAATGGAATCTATCAGTGTAGGAACGCAGAGATAGATGAGGTGAAGTTAAGGGAACTAGATCTGGAAGGGTCGCCTTGACAAAGGAAGTTCCTGAAAGAAACTAGCTTTCCTGGGGACTTCGAGGGAACCTGCAAGGTGGCTTGGTTTCCTTGAGTCATGTTTGGTACCAAACCACATGATCAAGTCAGGCTTTCTTTCTTGGTCCTACCATGGTCATCTTTATCAACATCAGTGTTTGTTGATCATGTACTACACATGTAATGTTCTCCTAAAAGTCATAATATAAACTGGTGTACCACTAAGAACTTGCAATCTAGACTGCAAGTAAGAAGTAACAACAAGGCTGAGTTGCACATCCTCTGATGATTACTACTAGTGTGTGTGAGTGTGTGTGTGTTTACATTGTATCATCAATGTTCAGAATTACCTTTCTCCACTTAAGATTTGGGTTGCCTTTTTTCTGGGAGGAAGAAGGCATAATTTTTAAAAAGTGCAATAATATGTGAAAAGTAGCATATGCTGAGTGTTAATGACCATGTATCTTACTGGAATTCAAAGCAAAATCAGCAGTAGTGGGAGACTGGCTTACGGGTTGTGGAAAAAAGGTTGATGAGACTTAAAATAGGTCTGCAAGGACAGATAGGTGACGAGGGTGTGGCAGAAGGGTGCAGGCAAATTCAGGAGTACTTGGTCACTTAGAGATTCAACTGGTTAAACTGAAGCGTGAATGGAAAGGTGGAAGGGAAAGGAAGGAAGGACCAGATTGTTTATGGATACTGAAGACTTTAAAACTAAGGACCTGTAGGCAAAAAATAACACTGTCCTATTTTTTTAACCAACCATAAGAATGTTTATTGCATTTAGCTCTGTGCCACAGAACACTCTCATTTTTATTATAAAACTACCACTTATCTTGTTTTAGCCATTTAAGTGGAAATTCCAAAGCTGACTTTTCCAACAGCAATGAGGTTGCTACATACCATTTTCCTTGGTACAAACTAAAACTGTCTTCAAGCTATTAAAATTGTAACATTTAATAACAATATCAAGCTCATAAATCTGAAACACCACTTGCCACTTTTTAAAAAAAATTCCAAATTCAAAGATAATTTAACTTCTAAGTTATTTTTCCCCTGAAAAGAAAAGACTAAGAAATATCTGAAAGAATAACAGGATGTGTAGACTGATTCCAGGACAGTTCTGGCTCAGAGATTTTATAATGCCAAACATTCCTCTATGGAACTGAAGTACTTCAATCTAGTTTAGTCCTTTTGTACCCTTCTTTTGCACAGTGACTTCATTAGTCCATCTCCGGATCCTGTGCTTTCATCTGTTTCTTTCATCTCATTCTATGATCCAGAATTATTTGATTTATTCTCCTCTTTATCTCCTCTTTTTCCTCCTCCTCCTCCTCCTCCTCCTCCTCCTCCTCCTCCTCCTCCTCTTCTTCTTCTTCTTCTTCTTCTTCTTCTTCTTCCTCTTCTCCCACTATCAATTTATTTGTTTTTCTCCTCCAAGTCCAGCGGCTTTTCCAGGGCTGCTCTTTCTTCCTGAAGTTCTTGATTCAGTGCTCCTTTATGGTTTATATATAGGCTATATAGTTTGTGTCTTCATATTTTTTTCTTTCTTTTCTTGGTCAACAAAATGAAGCAATTACCATTACTAGCAGAATAAATATTACTCCTATCACAAGGGAAATGAGCTAAAGCCATGACTGTTCTTCAGAGCTGCCATTCACTGCCTAAATACACCAGGTTTGTTGGCATTTGCAGCCAGTACTTTGACTCTCCCAACATCGTCAGCCCAGCAATCTTCTCCCTTTCTTTCCTTTTCTTTTCTTTTTTTGTCTTTTTGAGACGGGGTCTCACTGTGCAGTTCAGGCTGGCCTTGAGCTCACTTGTAGCCCAGGCTGGTCTCAAACTTGCACGATCCTCCTGCCTCAGCCTCCCAAGTGCTGGGATTACAGGCGTGAGCCACTACGCCCAGCTCCTTTTTTTCTTAATAGATAATAAAATTAACAAAATAGAGGTCAAAGGTCATAGACCAAAGCTCTAAACAAAGAGCACAAAAAGAAGTCAGGAGAAAAGGACAATCATCTTCAAAATAATCTGGATTAGGAGTTTTTTGAGGACTCTGGCTTCCCTGGTACTTATGGTTATTGATCATTGGTGGTCTCCGTACTTGTTTGTATTTTGGGTTATCTATGGTGGGAGGTTTCCAGGAGCCTAACTGGAGCAAAGAGGGTTGTTTGGTAAAATAAATTTTATCAAAAATTAGCCATATAAATTATAATTGGTATAATTATTGGTGTTAAATAGTTAATTTTTAAAAAACAGGTTGAAATCTTTTGTAGCATCTTAAAGAATAAGCTGTTAGAAGTGGGGCTGTTGCTTGTGGTAGAGTGCTTGCATAACATGCATAGTGCCCTGATTTCAATTCCCAGTAACCCTTCTGGAAGCAAAAAGTCGTTATAAGATAAAATGTAAATGCAGAAGTGCAAGCAGCTTAGAAATGAAAATATACATTTGGTGCCAATGGCAGTTACAAAGATAGCAATTTCTAGGACTGGTAATAACAGTAAAATTTCTGCCTTCCAACCTCACCCAATGATTAAAAAAAAGAAATTTTGAAAATCCATTTACAGTGCACCTAAGAAATTTGCTTGCACAAGACTCCACTCTGCACAGGCCCACTGAGCAATACAGTTGTCGGTGTATGGTTTTTTTTTTTTTTTTGGTCTTTTTGAGACAGGGTCTCGCTGTGCAGTTCAGGCTGGCCTTGAGCTCACTGTGTAGCCCAGGCTGGTCTTGAACTCCCAACGATCCTCCTGCCTCAGCCTCCTGAGTGCTGGGATTACAGGCATGAGCCACCATGCCCAGCAGTTGTCGGTGTGTGCTACACACGACAACAAGAGATCTCCTCCCATCTCGTCTGTAAGGTGTCATGTGAAGCTATGGAAGATAAACTTCATTATGAAATGACAGATCTATCCCCAAGCATCCCAATACTTCTATGCCTCATCCACATAAAAATATGAATTTGTACAGGGTCAGTGGTCTGGGATCATGGGAGAAAAAGAAGGAAGAACGAATGTGGCAAAGAAGAGAGACTTCCTTCTCCATCACACTCACCAAACACCGACAGTATTAAACCAATCTGCGATATCTAGCTTTAGTCTCTGCTCCCTAACTTTTCACCCAGAATACGTCTGTTACTTCAAGCTTTTTTAGAAGCAAAGACAGATTATTGTTTTATTTTTATTTTTTTGCTTTTCATCACTTTTCATCTGTGAGCTGATTACTAATAGGAACAGAAACAAAGATACACAGGCATCTGCCTTCCAAGGACATGAAAAACGGGGACAAGAGAGCTGTCCCTTCTGTGCTGTGACCTCCGCCTGAACTTGCAGGGCTTAGATTTGTGATGCTTTTCTTCCTTGTAAACAGGCCTCTGCTTTCATAATTATGTTTTGCTTCTAAGGGTTATCTTTTGAGTAAACACTGGCTATCTGTCTGGATTTCCTGTTATTGTACACTTGGATTTCAATAAAAATGCAAACATTGGTGTCCTTAATTTTTTTGTCTGAGTTTTAGCTTCGGTTTCAATTATATTTGAGGATTTTTTTTCAGGTTTAATCTGCCTTTGTTTCCTGTTTATCAGGTCAAGGAAGCCTCACCTCACTTAACTTTTACTTTCCTGTCCATCGTTTTTCTAAAAAGTTGCTTTATCTCACTGTGCCAATTTCCTTCTTTCCTTTCAGGATCTCCTTCTTGTCTAGCTCTTTTCTCTGTCCACACTTTTTTGGGTGTCATTTTGCTTAATAGTTCTTCAATACTGGCATTAATTTTTTCTTTCCCTATTCTGAACTGTTTGAACCTGAGCTCCTGCTATAATTTGTAATAAAAACTTAGTTGTTATATAGCAGTAGCTTATGTATAGCCTGGCCTGTTCTAAGTCTATTAAATATTCTTTTCACCTGTCAGACAGGTCCTTTATTGTCAATTTCAACTCACAGTTATTAATCCTCACTGCTCTGCCAAAACAGAAATACACAGCTATCACTATTGTTAGTATCCCACCAACCTCATCAAACAAAACATGAAAGTGATTT